AAATATTAAACTTCTTATGATAACATAGACAATATAGGTGTTTGGAACCTTTGTTGAAAAATGGCACCACATCTGTCATGCTTGAAATCTGTTTTCTGAGGAAGCATTCACTGTTTAATTGATTGTTTTAGGAAAAATGTTTTTTTGGACTAGGTCTTGGAAATTGGGAAAGGCACTGTCAGAGAAAATGTCTTTTTTGATGTTTTCTCATTTTTATGGCACTAAAGAAACAATGCGGGTTCCAAAGACTGCCTAAATGATCAGCTCATGTTATATGTTCTAAGAAGTGTTTTAAAATCTGATTCGGAGGCTGAACCGTTTTTGCTAAGGGTTCATTTGAGCTGAGTCGAGCTGAATATTTGGCTATTTGAGCTCAGCTTGTAGGAATGGTATATCAGGCTCGAGCTCGGCTAAATTCATAGCTTGCAAGTTCAAGCTCGGCTCTGCTCGAGCTTGACTATAAACCAAGTGTTTTTTTGAAAAAATAGAAATTATATGTATAAAATTATTTTTTTTTTATTTTTTAGACAAAAAAATAAGGATTAAAAACTATTTAATATTATTTATACAAAAAATAATTATAAAATGATTTTTATTTTACATACAAGAAAATAAGAATTATAAAAATGATTTACTATTATACTAATATATAATAAAAATGATTTATTTAATACTACGCTCGCGATCCTCACGAGTCGAGCTTCACTGGGTCGAGCTCAGCTTGATTAACAAACGAACCTATATAATGGGCTCAAAAGCTTGGTTTAAACCGAGCTGAGCCAAGATCGAATAGCTCGTGAAAGGCTAGGCTTGTGGCCACTCCTAGTTTTTTCCTCTGAGTCATGGGTCACCGGTTCGATTGGCCGAGTCAAACAGTTCAGATCATACCACATCGACATATATGTATATATGTGTGTGTGTGTGTGTGTACAAATACATATTTTATCAATAAACAATGCATAATTATGTTTTAGATATTATATATGTATTATTTTATATTTAATTTATGTTTTTTAGTTCAGTTTTTAATTTTTTATCTATAAAAATATTAAAAATTGCAATTTGAGGCCAAAAAAATGTTTTTTTTTGCAAAAATAGCGGGGCAAGGCGCCTATGACACATTAGGACACATAGATATCTCGATAAGTTATCCAAAATAAAAAATTACCTCAATTGAACATTGGAGTGCAGAATTATGGCCTCCCGAAGTTTGCATACATAGTTAGATTGGACGGTTTATGACAAAGTCAATGGTTTTTGGAATTTCTTTGGGTTTTACTCGAAGCAGACCCAAAATCTTAACCTATGACGGTTTAAACGGTTCAACCAGTCAAGAACCAGTCGAATCAACGACAGGTTGAAAACACTGATTCTAAGGGACCATGGATTAGGATCTGGGGTAGACCTTGTCCCCAACAAATTAAGTAAATGTGCAGAAACAGTTATGAACCTAGACCCTTTTTATTTTATATACTTAAAATGTAGTTGTCCATGTCAGATTATTCTCTCTCTTTCTCATATTGCCTTCCAACCCCTTTGCGATTTTGCGTCTTTTTTGAATTTAGGAAATAAAAAATTAAACATGAGGCTATTTACACAACCATACAGTTTCCTTTTTAGGAAACTAATGTAATTAGGGGTCAGTTTGGGTTTACCCGAGTTACCATTTTACACTGCTTCAGGCTTAGGCCTTAGGGCTGGGCTTTTGATTAAAACCCAACCCAATCCCATCCAAATTGCACCCCTAAATGTAATCACTCTATCGGATAAAATCCAATATGACCTGATTTTAATTGATAGCCATACTTCTAACTTATTATTTGACAACAAGCTTACTTAGTTGTTAAATTTCCTAATATGATAATATTACAAGTATATTTATGCTACTATAAAAAGTGGTAACACCCCTATAGGCTTCTAGACTTTTTCTTGACTAAAATGAGAATTTAATCTATCTCTATTGTGAGGGCAGAAAATATAATTTAGATGCCGCATTTCAATTCATTTTCTTATTAAGTCCCATATTTAGAGGTGATCATTTTTGGCTTAGCTCAGAAATTCTAGGCTTGGGCCTAGGTTTTGTGTTCAAGCTTGGCTAAGGCTTGGGCTGACCCACAGTTTATTAATATAATACATGCATTTAATAATTTAATATAAAATTTGAGTCCAGCCCCAAAATTCCTTCTCATTGAGAGATGCATAGGGGTACACTTTGGATACACATTGATACAATTTGGAAATAGTCAAATTAATAATTGCCTAAAGCTAGGTCTTAGATGAGTTTAAACACAAACTCTAATAGTTCACGTGAAGTATTAACTATTGAGAAATGTTGGAAAAAGGTAGAATAACTAAGATATGCACATATATCTTAGTTTTCATTTGACAAGTATTTATATCTTAATTCTTAGGAAACCAAAATAAAAAGTTATTGAGAGGAGAGGAGAGAACTAGTGGTATACGTTTTTGAGGAGAAATAATGGGTATTAATTATAGAAAAAAAATGTTGAATTTGAATTAATAATTTACTTGTAGGAGATGATGATAGAATATGAGAAGCCAAATTTGAGCAAAGAACAAAAAAAACATCAATTTAAACCAATCAAGTGAAGATATAATAAATTAATCGAATTATTGATCAAAGCAACCCAATTTGCAATTAAGACTTTATTTGGTACCATTGCCATTTCTACTTGCAACATTTTTTGTTCATTAATACAAATTTTTGAAAATGTGTCTTGTTACATAACATAAGATAACCACTTCCACTAAAAAAAATATAGGCATTGAAAATGTGTCTCTCCTCTTCTCTTCTCTTGCTCGAACGAATGGCCAGAAAATCGTACAACCCTAAATCGCTAAGAAAATTGCAAACCCTAGATTTTCTTCCCAACTTTCTTGCTCGTGAAGAATAACTTGTCTTATTCTTTAAAATTTCTCTACTGGAAACCAGAGAACTTGCTCGTGAAGAATAACTTGCTCGTGAAGTCTATCTTGTAAATTTCTCAACAAGGTTCTCTATGGACAGAGAACCTTCTATCTTTTCATTTGTCAAACAGGGAAGGGAATTCAATTTTTGGTCGAACAAGAAGAGGAATTCGTACGCGGGAAAAATAAATTTTTCCCTCCCTGCGTTTCTTCACACCGGTTCATTATAAGGTTAAACCAGTTTATTTCCGGTTTATAAAATAATTCACCGAATGTACATTAAAAACCGTCGTGCCAGTTTTTAAAATGAAACTGGTAGCTCTAAACCACCGAATGTACCTTAGATATACCTATAGCGGCGGTCACAAAGACCGCCAGCTCTAAACCACCATCTTTGACCCTTTTCTTGTAGTGGTAGAAACACCAAATTTGATCTTTCAGTACCAAATGTTGTATTGATAACTCATAGCATTTGTGGTATCAAAAAATATATTATCATAAAATTTGTATCGACCAACCTTAAATATTAGAAGTTGAAATGGCAATAGTACCAAACACAACCTAAGAGATTAATGAAAATAATTTGTGAAATACCCCAACAATGATTGATTTCCACTCTTGTACTATTTTCAAAGAGAGTAAAAACTTTTTTATTCTTTTTTTTTAAATAAATAAAGAAGAATGTTTCTCAATGAGGAGAAACCAGCTGAATGGAATAAAAAAGACCATCTTCATATGCCATCAAATAAACTTGAATAAGACAAAATAAGTCAACTTATTGGCTTCCCTCTGGACCAGTTAGGAAGAATCTTCTACTAGCTGACAATTGACATTATGCCATTTCAGTCAATAAGTTTTAGATTTTGAGCGGGTTAAGGAATTGAAGAATGTTAAATAGAACCATAAAACATAAGATAAGAAGATAGAGTATGAAGAGGTTCTCTCTCCAGTCCAGTCCCCACCCACTTTCTCTCCCTCTGGACCATTTAGGAAAAGAATCTTCTAGTGCCTGACAATTGACATTATGCCATTTCAGTCAATAAGTTTTAATTTTTTAGAGGGTTAAGGAATTGAAGAATGTTGAAATTAAAATCATAGAAGATAAAACATAAGATAAAAAGGAGTATGAAGAGATACTCTCTCTCTCTCTCCAGTCCCGTCCCCACCCACTTTCTCTCCCCTCACACAATTACAGACCTAATTCCCACAAAATGTTCTCTTCCTCCAATCCCACCTCTCTCTATCCCTGCAACCCAAAATGCTCTTTTCCTTTAAAGTGGGAAACATATTCAATTGTCTCTTTGTTCTTTGAATTAATTTAACATTTTTAAGTATATATTTGGCATCGATGCTCAGATGCAATGTTGATGTGTGGGTTGGAAGTACTATTTTCTGAGAAAATGGTGCATTTTTTTGTTTAGAATCATTGCTGCCAGGTGCAGCTCCAAGAAATTTTTTGGAGCAACAACTTTTTCTATTTGGTACTAATGCTCTAGGAATTATTTTCAGCATTGGTACCCATTATCTTTTGTCACATCACTGCCACCTCACATCCATGTTGGCAGCAACGAGGTGCAGCTCCAAGAAATGTCAAATTTGGCGTTGCTCCAAACCATGCCTTTCAGATTTCTGAAGCATGGCTTAGAGCACTGTTTTTTTATGGAAAAATGATTCCAAATACATGCCCGTTTCCCTGAAAACCATTTTTTCCGACGTGGCGCTGATGTGGTATTGTTTTCTAGAGCAACGACAACGATGCCAAACAGAAGCTAAATATTTCAATTAGAAATTAATGACGTTGGCCATGAGGTCGCACCAAAGATTCAAAACTGAAATGACTGTGAGGCCGGAAGGATTTGAAGCCCTGTCCATTCTTCTTTATTGCTCAGCAAGAAAAAGTGGATCCCACCCTTGAGGATGGATACCCAACAGATTCCTTGCTCATGGAGACATGTAGCCCCAAACCACATTTGTGCAGACAAGATAAAGAATTGAAAAAGACAACCAAATGCTCACTAACTGGTCTATAAATATAGTGGGATATAGTCTCTGAACTCATGTTGAGTTCAATCATGGCCTCTTACCCTCTTAAAATCCCAGTCTTATGGCTTCCACCATTGCTTCTGCTCTTCCTAACATGTGTTCCTGCAACAGGAATAAAAGTCCCAAGACTCGGTGTAGTTGGAAGAACCACCAGAGTGAGGAATCTGGGTACAACCAAAACTTCCTCTACTTGGGACTTCAAGAAGTTTTACTACACCCAGACTCTTGACCACTTCAACTACAGGCCAGAAAGCTACAGAACCTTTCAACAAAAATACGTGGTGAGCTTCAAGTACTGGGGTGGAGCCAATGCTAGCGCCCCAATCTTTGCTTACCTTGGATATGAGGCTCCTTTGTATGATCAATCTCCTGCTACTGGGCTTATCCTCGATAACGCTCCCAGATTCCATGCTCTTGTCATACACATAGAGGTACAGAGAGAGAGATAGAAAAAGAGAGTGAAAAAAAAAAGAGATCAATCTCCTGATTGCCAGTTCATTAATTCTTCTGTTTCTTCTTTTAAAGCACTCATTCCAGAAAAATGGAGTTTAATTCTTACCATGAGAGGATATTGCTTTCTAACCAGCACCGTTTCTATGGAGAATCCATTCCATTTGAGTCGAGGGATGAAGCATTGCGAAATTCTAGCACCCTTGGTTACTTCAACTCAGCTCAAGCTCTAGCAGATTATGCAGAGATAATTCTAGATTTAAAGAAAAACTTATCTGCAGAGACCAGCCCTGTGATTGCTGTGGGAGGATCATATGGTGGAAGTAAGAAACTCAGAATCGACCCATCACACAAAACTAATTGCCCAATTAAAAGTATTTGGTTGATAACCATCTATTAGCTCTTAATTTTCAGTGCTCGCAGCATGGTTTCGCCTGAAATACCCACACGTCACTGTTGGAGCACTAGCTTCATCAGCACCGATTCTGTACTTTGATGATATTACACCAGAAAACGGATACTATTCGATTGTCAGCAAAGGTTTCAGAGTAAGTATTCAAATTCAACCAGTCATCAAATTCTTCATAAGATCTCAACAAATTGATTCTGTTGGCTTTGTCTTGAGTTGCTCAGGAATCCAGTGAGAGTTGCTACAAAACCATAAAGCAATCATGGTCTGAAATTGATGAACTTGCCTCACAATCCAATGGTCTTTCGCTTCTTAGCCAGAAGTTCCAGACTTGCTCGTAAATATATGAACTAGTTTTGTTCAGAATTTTCAATCAATCATCTCAGAATTAATTCCTCTCTAGTCTCCAATAATTAACTTGTATTAATCTGTGTTGGTATTTTTCTTGTTAAGGGCTCTGAACAAGTCTTCCGAGCTGAAAGGTTACCTAGAATATGTATATACAGATGCAGCCCAATACAATGCACCACCGGAATATCCTGTTGATAGAATTTGCAGTGCCATTGATGGGGCGTCTGAGGGTACAGACATACTTAGCAGAATATTTGCAGGTGTTGTTGCTTCTAGGGTAAATAGTTCTTGTTATGACACTAATGAATACAATTATCCGACTGAAACATTTGTGGGCTGGGATTGGCAGGTAATTAGTGAACCTTTTCTCATCAACATATCTTCCATTCACCACCACCACCACCACCACCATCGTTAACATGCAAAGATATACTTACTATAGGATTTCCTTCTGACTCAGACATGTAGTGAGATGGTATTTCCCATTGATCATGGTAGAGATCCCACCAGCATGTTCCCAGCATCAACTTTTGTTTTGAGGGACTACATCGAGGACTGCAATCGTTCATATGGCGTCCCACCGAGGCCCCATTGGATCACGACTGAATTTGGTGGCCATGTATGCTTCTTATGGAACTTGGGCACTTTTCCTCTTCTGTTGATTTGTTGCAGAAAGTTTCTGGGTCTGAAACTTAGGCCACCTTTTCTGTGCATCGCAGGATATCAAATTAGTTCTCAAAAGATTTGCCAGCAACATCATATTCTCCAATGGACTGAGAGACCCTTATAGCATTGGCGGGTAGAAATTAAAAACTCAACCCAGGAAATAAGAAATTCAATATTCTAGTTTTCTCAATTTACCTGAGCAAATCTCTTGATTCTCATCAGTTTCTGTCACTCATCACAGGGTGCTGCAAAACATATCAGACAGTGTCGTAGCGTTGGCTACTGTTAACGGTGTGTCCTCACTCCTTTGGTTCATCAATTTTGAAAGCTGTAAGGGTATTTGGAATTTTTGTTTGCACTCTGGATACTTAAAGGAATTATTCAATTTGCAGGGTCACATTGCTTGGATATACTATCTGAATCGCCGAATGATCCAAAATGGTTATCCATGCAAAGACAATCAGAAATTGAAATCATCGAGGGATGGATTGAGAAGTACTATGCCGACCTTGCTGCACACCACTGATAGGAGTTTGTTCATTAATCCCCAATGGAAGGAGTTATATCATCTTTCTGAGAAAACAATATTGGCACAAACTGCAACAAAATAAATGAAATAAAATCTAGTCAACGCAAGTCCAATTAATTTCCTCTCCCCCCCCNCCCCCCCCCCTCTGACATAGAAAAACAAGTTTCTTTAAATTCTTGCTTATATGAATGTCCATCTTCATTTTAAAATAAAAAAAAAAAATCCACTCCTTTCTCCTATAAATCAAGAAAAACCAAGTGAATCCTTAAATTTATATTTTTTAGAAAAAAACCTTTCTCGTTTCATCCAAATATTGAATCCACATAGAAAATTTGCAAGGATCTATTAGAGCAATATTATATTTAGAAAACTAATAGTTTTTTTGTAAGTTAACTGATGGAACTCTAATGGAGAGAGTATTTGTCACAAAGTGAAAGTTCATGGGGTAATTGTCAAGAATCTTTGTAATCTACCTTCTTTTTTAAGTATTAGCAACTAAACCCGTGCAACGCGTGCGCCTAATAAAAGTTAGGTTTTTGTTGGCAAGGTTTTTGGTGACAATTTAGGTTCAGGATAGGGTTCATATTTAGAGATGAGCAAAAGTTAGGCTTTGGTCGCCAAATTTTGATTTTTGGCATCAAATTGATTTACACTAAGGTCCATATTTAGAGTTAGCCAGAAGTTAGGTTTCGATTGGTAAATTTAGGTTTTTGGCATCAACTTGAGTTTAGGCTAAGGCCTCATATTTTAGAGTTAGGCATAAATTAGGTTTTTATTGGCAAAATTAGGTTTTTGTCATTAATTTGAGTTTAGGATGAGGTCTATATTTAGAGTTGGTCATGGATTGGCCCTTAACATGACTCAATCCATTTAATTTATTGAGAATAAAAGGGGTTGGAAGTGTGTGTGTGTGTACTAGTGTGTGAGAGAGAGATTTAAGAGTGTTCATATTTAAGAAATTAATGATCAACTTTACTAGAGACAATTGAGACCTAAGAGGGTTTTATATTGACTTTTTATATTTTTTATTTAATTTAAAAATAAAACCAAATGTGTGAGAAATGAGAGGAGGAGGTTTATGTGAGCTCCTGTTAAAAATATATTTTTTAAGAGAAAAATAAAGTAACAATGATTCACCAAGTTTAATTTTATATCTTTCTAGATCTTTACATATAAAAAAGTAGAAATTAAAATAATTTTCTTTTCATTTTAGTTATTGAACTTCAAATTTATTGCTTTTTATATAGCTTATATGTTATAATAAATACATAAACCAACTTATGGTGGCTCAAGGCTTAGTATGAGATCAATAACAAACTTAAAAAAAAAACAATTTCAAAAATGAATTGATAAAAAGCTCATTTTAAGTGCTTTCTTACTGCATTTTATTTTTGAATTAGAATAATTCATGAAACAAATCTACATTTAATTAATAAAAAAAAGAGAGAGAAATTTTGTGATAACCTATGGAAACTGATAACCCATGTACTAGCTAGTTGGGCAAATTTGGGTTTGACATTATTTTGTGTCAAAGCTAGGGTTCATATTTTGAGTTGGCTCTTAACCTAACACAATCCATCAAATTTTACACGCACCCTACTTTGTTAGAGAGCCAAAAGGGATCAAGAGAGATTTAAGAGGAAAAGAGGGATTTAGTGGGGGGGAAGAGAGAGATTTAAGAATGATCTTATTAGAGAATAAATATGAATTTGATGAGAGACAATGAAGACCTGTGAGGGTTTTAATTTTGATTTGTAATATTTTTAATGATTTAATTTAAAAATAAATAAGCACATATGTGAGAAAGGAGAAGAGGATGAGGTACATGCATGTGAGCTCTTTGGTTTGGCCCTTAACCCCATTATACTCTTGTTTTATTAGAGAGGATCAATAGTTTCAAAATTATTTAATAGGAAATAAGGGATTTAATGGGGAGAGGGGTGACGATACAAACATTGTCTAATGAAAGAGGGGGATTAATAATGCATGGGGTTGAATAGAAATTTGGATGGGTTTGGATTGGCAAATTTAGATTTTGACATCAGATTGGTTATAGGCCAAGCTTCTTGTTCAAGGTTGATCCTTAACCCCACCCAACGTCATCTAATTTATAGGTACCCATGTTTTATTAGATAGGATCAAATGAGTTTCAAAAAATATATCTAATAGAAAATAAGGGATTTAATGGAGGAAAGATGTTACAACATTGACCATTGAAGGGAGGGGGAAGGGGAGCTTAAGAACGATTTTATAAGAGAAATGTAATTACATGTTCTCATAGAGAAAATTAAGACATAAGAGGGTTTTTAATATTTCACATGTCGAGAAGAGGGGAGACCCCGTGTGATGCTTGTGGTGACAGACCCTTGCCTCTGCATACTCTTTCTATTATATATAGATTGATTGCCCGACTTGAAGAATTTCCAATCGGGATCTACTGCTCTCAATGTGTGTGCAAAACATTGGTGTGCTCATTTGTGATTGGTTATGTATAGTTGCCCTATACATAGGGCGCGGTGCAAGTAGTACATCCAAGCTCAAGAATTTCAATTACTTTAAGCTCAGGTTAGTGTTCAAGTCCATTAAAAATTTAACAAATTTCCAATCCAATCTGATCTAGATGCACCCCTAGGCTCAACCATCTGGGCCGATAGGTTAACACATGATAACCTATTTTTCAATCATGGAACCTTGATATCCTGTTTGTAATCTGGGTTAATTCCATGGTTCTTTTTGTTTTTCACTATTTCCATTATATGATGATATATTAAATCTAAGTTAATTTGTTATATAAACCATAAGGCATTGAATAAAATAGAGCCCATACATGCTATCTTTGATACAAATGTTGGTGAGACATTGCTTGGTAATCCAATTATCTCACTTCATAGCCATTTTACATGGATTCAGCCATTCAATATGCAATTAAAACTCGCATTCTATTAAGTCTAAGGAGATTTTTGGTTGAACAATAGTGCATGTACTCAAGCCTTCACCTCTAAGTGTAATATTTATTTTAATTTTATTATTAATTAATGATTAATATTGGGTGTGTTTCAACCAAGTGAAAATGTATCCAATCTATCAAAACTTGGCATTCAAAAAGTAGTAACCAGTTTGACTGATCCAACTACAAAGAGCTAAAGAAAAGTAGAATAAAGAATATGACTATTAACTTTGGGGCTCAATAGAAGAAAGAGTTTGAGACTCTAGAATGCCAAAGTGGGACTACTATAGTGGAGCACCAGTATAATTTGTGCATATATTTTCATGTGTTTGGTGAGTGGGTTCAATCATGCTTCTCAAATAGAGGCCCTCCTTACTAAAGTTGATGGTGATGGAGAATATACGTTATTAGGGGTCACCAATGGTCACTAATGGAGTCCAAGATAACCAGAATCTCTCTCCTTCGAGTGGTCATCTGAAAAGAAAGAGAAAAACAACTCTCCTTTACATTTGTCTTTTAAAAAGAATCTCAGAAGTCAGAAGTTACAAGCAAAACAACTTTTTTTGCTTTAATTGTGATGTTGAAAATTGAATTTATAACTCCCAAATATAACCACTCCAACTCCCTATTGATGCTGAACCATGGCTGGTTCAATGGTTTCCAAACCCAAGGTGAAGCTTGGAAACTTTTGATATAATCAAGCAAATACTACTTAATTGATGCTGAAATCCATGGTTAGATATGATCTGTGTTCACTTATACTGAGTTGGGAAGCACAGTGCCCTTATTGAGGATACTACTTAATGTGGCATCTTATATTATCTTGCTTCATAAACGCATAACAAGGGATGAATTGAGGACTTCAACCATAAAATAAAGCAGGATCGGAAAAGAGAAATGTTGGGCAATCAAGAAGCAACAAGTCGTTAAGATGAGTTTAGAAGAAATGTGAATGTCAAGAGGGATTATTGGAATAACCAGGAAAGAAAGGATCAGAAATGAAGTCATTAGAAAGAATCTAGAAGTATCTCAAATGGGTTATAAAATGAGAGAAATTAAATAGATTAAGATGCTTTGGTAACATGTAGAGGAGACCATTTACAACACCTATAAGAAAGAAATGATCTATTACAAGTTGAAAGGGCTAGAAGAGTTAGGTGCAGACTTTAAAAGACATTGGTTGAAAGCATAGATATGGCACTGAATAGAACAGAATGGTGAAACAGAATTCATGTAGCCGACCCCATATAATTCGGAATGACATGCCTATCGGTTCCAAGTCAGGTGGTAGCACATCGCCCACATGGTGTGAATGGCCCCAGTCTGTGCAACCCAGAGAGACTGGATGAGCATCCCTGCCAGTGGAAGAGACACACCCCGAAGATAACGGGCCAATAGGGTCCGACATCCCTGGATATCTCGGACACAGAATTCAGACCCCAACACCTATAAAAGGGACTCATCCCTTCTTTACAAGGTACATGCAATTTAGTGCAAATACACCTCTCGTTTTCTTGGTATGCTCTACTAGCTCGGTCGACTTAAGCATCAACGTGCTTACCCCGGGTCTAAATACCTGGACAATTTGATTCTCTCTCACTTTTGCAAATTGGTATGCTGACCTCAACACACATCATCCGAGTTGTCCTCCAGGGAATCAGGCGATTTTGCACAACACCAACCCACCTTGAGTTGGCTAAACTCAAGCCTATCTGACTTGATCTAAATTAGACCTTGTAACATCCGGTGGTGGTGGGGCCATTGTGTACCAAGTCTAAGGTGGCAGGTAATACAGATGGTAAGATTTGGGGTTATTGTTTGCATACATGGAATTGAATCCTGCTTATTTCAATTCATCAATCATACATAGGGGTGTCAATCGACCGATTTTGGGTTGGATCCAGTCCAATCCAAACTTTATCAAATTGGATTTGGATGGTCCATTATAATTATTGGATTGGGTCAATCCAAAATAAATTGATCCATATTCTTATTGGTCTGAATTGGACTTAAACCAAATTTCTAATAATCTAATCATGAGGCCAAACCCTTGTCCAATTTGAAACCGATCAAAACTGAAGCTGACATAAAATCACTTTTATGAAAGTACTTTTACGAAACACTTTTATAAAAAGCACTTTTATAAAAGTAATTTTATGAAAAGTACATTTACGAAAGCACTTTTACAAAAATACTTTTACGAAAACACTTTTTTGATCATTTTTACAGAAGTACTTTTATAAAAACACTTTTATGGAAGCACTTTATGGAAGTACTTTAATAAAAACACTTTTATGAAATGGAAGTACTTCTATAAAAGCACTTTTGCGAAAAGCACTTTTATAAAAGAACTTTTATGAAAGCACTTTTCTGAAAGAACTTTTATGAAAGCATTTTTACAAAAGCACTTTTACGAAAGTACTTTTATAAAAGCACTTCTACGAAAGTACTTTTATAAAAGTACTTTTATGAAAGCATTTTTATAAAAGCACTTTTACGAAACACTTTTATAAAAGCACTTCTACTAAAGTACTTTTGTCAAAGTACTTTTATGAAATCACTTTTACAAAGTGCTTTTTTAATGCCAAAAGGGTATATATTTTGTAATTTTTCAGTTTTTCTTCATTTTAATATATTTTTATAATTTTTTATATGTTCTGTTTTTTATATAATTTTTTATATTCCATTCAGTTTGGATTGAATCCAATCCAATTCATTTACATTTTAATGGATTGGATTGGATTTGGACTGGATTGGGTCCAGTCCATTTGTAACAGGACTCGTATTGGACTGGATCGGGTTGGACCAATCCAGTCCAATTGACAGCTCTAATCATACAGTGCCTTGGCCTGTCTAAGGCTGGACCAATCTGGTTCTTCCAATTGATCCCATCTAAATTAAAGCAGAAGCTGTGCGAGAAGAAACTTATCCCATCTGTTGTAGAGGAGAACCCAGCTCTCTCTCCATTTGGTTGACTCCATTTTGTATTTCAAGTCAACATATCACAAGCAGCAGATTCCCACCTCTGACGTTGTTGCAATTATAACAAAAATGCCCAAAAAAACAAGAACAAACAAACTAAAAAGGGGAAAAGAATGTGGTAATGAGAATGAGAGGCAAATATAGATTTAGTTAGCATGCTACATTTGTTGAACACGCCCATGCTTTGAGTACAAAGGGAAAAAGAACCTTCACGAACTGAAAGAAGCATAGTTAATTTCACATCAAAATTCCCAAAAATTTCCAAATGAAGAACTTCTAACTTTCAAGATATGGAAGAAGAATGATACATAAGTTGTGGTGTCATGGAAACAACTTCTCAAGAAGCTGGAGAACAGAGGTCATCCAAATACAACACCTCCAACAAGCCAAGTTTAAGAAGCTGCCAAACAGAAAGCACAAAGAGTGAAAACTTCATCTCCATCGTCCTGCATTTAACTAGAAATCTGAGTCAAAAAGGACAGATACCTCAAAAAGAACTTTCTATAACTGTGATGACCATTTCGAACTTTTTGTCATGGTATGCTTTTATCTGAATCAACGGAATCTCATATAAATGAAATTAAGAGACCCGTATTATGATGTATACCAAATCTCTTGTATAAATTTTGCATGAAAGTCATTGATTTGTCCAATTCATCATGTTGAATCCCAAGCTAATTACTCATAATCAAGTTGGTGAATCTGAGTCCAAATTTATCCAACTAGACTCTGGTTGTTAGTCCTGCTGGCATTATTATGACCCTTGAATGTCGTTTCTTCCTCTAATTGATTATCTCCAATTCCTTACCAGAAGCATACAAATGATCAACAAATGGTATCCTAGTTGTAAATAACATTCTATAATGGGTTGTTTGATCACCCCACTGAATAGCAACTGCATTCAGAATATCTTCTCTTACTTAGACTCAACATTATGATAAAGTGCAGAATATAATCTAAGAACTCACCAATAGTCCCTACATGAGCATTTCCCTTCCTTAAAATGATGGAAACGGTTCCTATCTCTCACAACAATTTCTCTGCCTTCAATCTGGGCAATAAGCTTGATTGCAGAATGGCAATCCCTGCATATGCGTAAATTCTTCACTATCCTGATTGGGATTCCTGGAGGAGAGTTGATAAGCCCAAGTGCAACAGCCAGTTTCTCACTATGGAGATAAAGAGCGCTCTCCTTCTCTTCATCCCTGATTTCTCGCAAAACCATATCCATGTCTGGCACATAACCAGCCATTTTGATCTTCTTTTTTAACTCCTCCAACTTCTGAAAAATCTGTTTATACTGTGGGTGAGAAGAATCACCTGCTAGAAACTCATTTATCAAACCCCCTATCTCAATTAGACTACATCCCGGTTCCTTTTCAATATCATTACATTTCATGATCATCCTTACTTTGCTAGCATCTTCCCATTTGTTGTTACTGGCATAAATGTTTGAAAGAAGAACATAATTTAAAGAGCTTTCTGGATCTAATTCCATTATCTTCTTTGCCACAAACTCTGCAAGGTGCACATTACCATGGATCCTACAAGCATTAAGCAATACACTCCATACAACAGCATCTGGAGCAATATTCATTCCTTTTATAACTTGAAGTGCCTCACCTAACCTCCCTGCCCGGCCAAGAAGATCCACGACACAAGTAAAATGTTCTAGATTGGGATCAACCCCAAACTTAACCCACATTTTTTGAAAATGCATCAAACCTTCCTCTACTAAACCTGCGTGACTACAAGCGTTCAGCACTCCAATGAGTGTAATTTCATCTGGTTTCACCCCTTCCCTTATCATGTTCCTGAAAAGCTTTAATGCATCTTCACCTCGTCCATGCAATGCAAATCCTTCAATCATAACATCCCACGAAACAATATCTCTTGTAACCATACTCTCAAAAACTTGATGGGCAGTTTCAATATCCCCACATTTCGCATACATGTTAACCAGAGCGGCACTAACAATTTCATTAGAACCAATTAATCCTTTTCTCTTACAATAGGAATGAATCCACTTCCCCAAACTCAATGCTCCAACATCAGAACAAGCTGAGAGTGCACTGACCACGGTGATGGAATTTGGGTTCACTCCCTCAAGCTGCATTTTCCGAAACAACACAAGTGCTTCATTGCACTGGCCATTTTGCACATAACCCGAGATCATTGTGTTCCATGATACCACATTTTTAACATCCATTTGATTAAACAGAACCTCAGCAGAAACAAGATCACCAGATCTAATTAAGCCAGTAATCATGGAATTCCAAGAAACCAGGTCCTTCTTAGTCATTCTATTGAAGAGTAGAAGTGCAGCCTCTACCAAACCGAATTTGACATACATATCCATCAGACTATTCTGAATTAGTACATTGGATTCAAACCTGAGCTTAATAATATGTGAGTGGACCTGTATGGCTTCTTCAACTGCGAGAGCCGAAACACAAGCTCTAAGTAAAACAGTGAAACAAAATTCATCCGGAACAAATCCCTGTTTAAGCATAAGGACGAAAAGCAAAATGGCTTGGAACCCATAACCTCCAAACCTTGAATACCCGGATATCAATGAATTCCAAGAAACCAGCGTCCTTTGCGTCATTTTCTCGAACGCCAGCCTGGCAATCTCTAGACACCCACAGCTAGCATACATGTGCAAGATAGAATTTTGGACAAAAACATTCTCGGAGAACAAAAATCCATTTTTAACAACATGAGCATGAAGTTGTTTCCCTTCTCTGATCTTCTCCAGAGCAGAACAGGCCTTGAGAACCAAAGGGAAGGTAAACTCATCAGGAGGAACGCCTCCAGTAACCATGGAAAGATAAAGAAGCAAAACTTCTTCATGTTGGTTCTTGTCGATATAAGCTCTAAACCTGGTATTCCAATCGAAAGGGTTCCGTGAGATGTCCGTGCGTTTTGCACCCCTTTTAGAGGAGGAGAGTAAAGGGCGCTTCTGTAGCGTTTCAGTTAGAGGTTTCCTGGCATCAGCAAGGCTTGGATGGGAGACGGATGGTAATTTGGGAGAAAGAAGTCCGAGCATTTCTACAGTTTGGTGGAAGTTTCAAGTTTGGGTGGAAACGAGAAGAAACTGGAAGAAAACTACACTATTCTATTGAGTGCAAACCACTTCTGAGCTTTATTTTATGGGGAGATATTCCAATACAAGACTATAATGGCTGTTCGAACGGGCTTTGCAATCGTGAAAATCCGTTCGAACACCAACAGTCTTTGCAGCCTTACATTGGGAATATCTCTGTACTTGAGATATTCCTAATGCTCTAACGAGCCTTGCATTGATTGAAATCGGTTTCGGTTGGGAATTCTGTGATAACTAATGTTTCCTTGGTTGATCATGGTCTTGTTTCTTCTACGTTCATCTTCCGTCAGTGCTCAACCCTTAGAACAATCTCTTTTCCCAAAATTAAATTTGGGTTTTCTCCAATAGAGTATTCCTCACATCGACCTCATAGCCATATAGTGGTGTGAGGTATAAAAAGGCAGAAGCCACAAATAATAACATTATTTAGTGGTTTCACGCAAAAAAAAAAGATGTAAATTTTTATGTAATTATTATAGTTCAAAATATATAGAAAAAAACATAAAAAGAATAAATGATTGCACCAAATTAAGTTAAATGATTCTTTTATTCTCTATCATTTTGGATGCATGCTTAGGTTTGTCATGTCCGAACTGGATCACATGGTACTCAAAGGTACTCTTTTTAAGATGTTAAGAGTTTTATCTAACTAATAATCATTCATGATATTTAGATAAGAATTTTTATGTCAAGGGGATTCCAAATGCACAGGAATATGTTGATTCGAATTCGAATCTGTTAAGGATGTCGGATATTCAAATCGAATCCAATCTGATTTAAATTCTGAAAATTTTAATAAATTATTAAAAAATAACAATTTATATAAAAACAAAAAATATAAGTATTTTTTTCAACTATTTTCATCATATACATTAATATATACATGCCTTTTTATAAAAAAAAAAAAATTTACAAAGTATACCAAGGCTTGGTACTTTGTAAAAAAAAATTTATAAAGAATGTTAGTTTTTAGAGTTTGATCATGCATCACAGGTAGTTGCCTCCATGGATTGGCTAGAGGTAACAAAGTACCAAGCCTTGGTATCGGCTCAAGGCCATAGGGAAGAGTTGATTAAGGATCTATATAAAGTTGATGATACTCAAGGGGGTATGGTTCATGGTGGAATGATTCCGTAAGAAAACTTTGGTAGGCTAAGTACATCAAGTGTGTGGAGTTTGTTCATTATATTCATGTATACTAAGTACCCTTTTTGCTATTGGCACTTCCAGTGAACTTTTGATTTCTTTTATAATATTAACTAGACTTGGACCTACCAAGATTTTTTTGTTTTTAGAAGGAAAGTACAATGGGAAACTTCATGAATTTGGGCAACATCTAAGACCTTTTGCCAAGTCTTTAGAAGGATGTGATATTGTTGTACAGTATACCATGCCTGAGATTCCCGGGCAAAATGGCCCATCACAAGAAAACTACCGCTAAAGGTCTTGAAAACTTCCAATAAAGCATTTACCAGCAATCAATAAACTACCGCTAAAACAGGTGTCGCTAAAGGTTATAGCGGCAGTTTTAGCGACTGTCAATAAAACATAAAAAACTGCCACTAGAAATTAAAATTTTAGTGGCAGTTTAAAATTGCCGCTAAAGGCTAAATCATCAATGGTAGTTTTATTTTTAGTGGAAATTGCGACTGTTGCTAAAGGAGAAGACCGGTTGTCACTATAAGTTTACAGTGATAGACACGTTTTTTTTTCTAGTGACAATTGAAACTGCCACTAATTACTACCTTGTACTTTGTGTCTAATGCCATTTTGGTCCCAGAACTTTAAAATGCGACAATTTAATATCCGAATCTTCAAAACATGACAATCCAAACTTTTAGTACCTATCATTAATTAGTAGTTAACCTACCGTTAAGTGACATTTGAAAATGACACAAATGCCTTTCAAATGTCATTTAATTTTCTTTATCAATCATCTAAACATTGACAAAAAAATTAATAGTCCCAAATCCTTGCCTCTTCTATTCAAGTAAGTTGGGGTCACTAGAATGCCCATTCAGATGTAACCCCAACTTTCTTGAATGGAAGAAGCAAGGATTTGGGACTATTAATTTTTTGTCAATGTTTAGATGATTGATAAAGAAAATTAAATGACACTAGAAAAACAGTTGTGTCATTTTCAAATGTCACTTAACAATATGTTAACTACTAATTAATGACAGGTACTAGAAGTTTGAATTGTCACAAGTACTAAATTATCGCATTTTAAAATTCTGGGACTAAAGTGACACTAGACACAAAGTACAAGATACTAATCGAGAATTTTCCCTAACATCAACATGTACATTCCAATAATTAACACCAAACACTTCATTACTCTAAGGGATAATGATTCTTGGACTCAGGTGCAAGCCACTCATAACCAACACCAAACTCTTCATTACTATTATTTTGATTTGATGTAAGAAAATGTGTTTTCCACCCTTAGCTTCGACCCACCACTTGCTACATGATAAAACATTTATACGAGTGGAGTAAGCTTTGCTTATGTTTAATTTCAAAGTTGAACACATAGTCACATACACAGTTATTATTCGGTTGTTGTTGTTGCTAATTTTTTCGATTTCATCGTTTTTCTCCATCTGTTCTTCGTGAGGTCTTGTCACGGTGGTGACCGACGACATAGCGATCATTCTCGAGAACAACCTTTGTTGGTGACATCGATGCCACCATTGCATAGAGGTGGATGTGGAGGCGGACTCCATGGTAGAGGGAAGGGGAACCAACGACTCTGCTCCTCCTCCTACCCCTCCTCTTTAAATTCTGAAATTTTTAATAATTTATTAAAAAAATTACAAAAAATGTAATATAAAAAATTTTTATAAATAATATACTAATATGCATGTTTACAAATATATGCATACATACATGCATGTCAGATTTGATAGGGGGTGATCCGAATCTGATCCGATTTAAAAATCTGAGAAAGGATGATTCTAATCCGACAGAAATTGGATTGAATCATGATCTGATCCGCTTGTACCCATATTCATGAATATGCAACATGGTTAATGGGATTGTTTCTTGGTTCTTAATGAATGTTCTTTTTCTTAGATTGCATAATGCTGGTTTCAATTACCCCAAGGTAAAATCTACAAGAATCAATTGAGTAGTTATGACCAAACTCGCAACTTTGTATGGTCAATCACAGTTGGTTCTAATCATGTGTTCAGTCCATTAGGCTATCTACAAAACTCCCCCATTGAGCTAGAGAGAGAAGCGGGATTGAATAAAAGAATGGCGTTCTCGGGTCCCTCCGGTTCAAGTAAGTTTAAGCTTGTTTTTCTTCATATCAGTGGTATGTTTTCTATATCTCTATAATTCTATTTCTAAAGAATCTCAGTTTTTATAGTTTGATCATACATCACAGGTAGTTGGCCAGAGGAAACAAAGTACCAAGCCTCGGTATCGGCTTAATTCCATAGGGAAGAGTTGATTAAGGATCTATATAAAGTTGATGATACTCGAGGCGGCATGGTTCGTGGTGGAATGTTTCGGTAAGTAACCTTTGGTAGGCAAGTACTTCAAGTGTGTGTAGTTTTTTCATTCCATTCATGTATACTATGTGCCCTTTTTATCTATTGGCACTTCCAGGGAACTTATAACTGTAACTGTAAATTTGTGTGGTGAAGTTTCAGCTTTGGACTGAACCTATAACTGTAAATTTGTGTGGTCATCTTAATTCAGGTTGGGCGCAGATCAAGATCTCAGTTAACCCGACCAACCATTTATGCATATGACCAAACCATATTATCCTACAAGTAGAAGGGGCAAAAAGAGCTAGGGGTAGACCAAAATGGATATGGGTAGTAGTAAGAAATGATTTAAGCATTAATAATTTAACAGTGGGATATAGTTTTAAAAAGAACAAAATGGTGAAACAGAATTCATGTACCTGACCCATATAGTTGGGATAGGATACACCATCTATTGTACTACGCAAAAAATCATTTCACACAAACACATATCACATAAAAACTATGTTTACATTATGCAATTTTGTTTCTAAACTAGATTTTACAACTCAAAATATATACAAAGCAACAAAAGAATGGCTAAAAATCCCTTAAACCCAACCAACCTGCCCTAGCCCGAGTCCTGACCAAGTTCATCCAAGTTGTGTTAAGACTTCATTCAGTGTGGCCTTTGGCTGGTCAAGTTGGGCTTTACCTAAGGTAGATAATTTACACTGAGTGACCAACTTTTATTGTTGGGTTTGGGTTGGCTATAAACCAAGCTTCACACTTGTAAGTTGCAACCTTGATTATAAACTAATTTTAAAAATTGAAGAATTTATGATCATCTTGATTATAGACTAATACATATCATTTATCCAAGTAGTGAATTTTAGATTTTCCCTTTTCTTCTATTTTTTGGAGGGGATCAAATAATAATGATAGAAATATGTTTGATTAATGAAGTGATGAAAGACGACTGCTGAAGGTCTATTTGCAAGAAAGAAGGCAAATTACACAGGCTATTTTAACAATGAAGCTTTTAAGACCAAGGGAATTAATCAACATGTTGAACGGGCTAAGAAATTAAGAAAAGCAACCATACCTCCATAGAACCATTCATCAAATTGGCCAATATGGCCGTTTCTTCTCAGTATTTACACCACAATTCTTTCTTCCCACTCCCATGTAAAACTCAAACCATAGCATGACCCTTCCTTCATCACTACAATCAAAGGTAATAATTAGGAACAGTGAGATAATAAATAGTTAATTCCTAACAAAAACATTCTAAACAAAACAAAATTGAGTTATATGGTCACCTATAGCTATGTGATCTCATGGAAATAAAAAATATTTGGATTTAAGGTCTCGTTCGCTTTTCGGTAAGTTATTTACCTGGGTAAATACAATTACTTGGATAAGTTTTTTTTTGGAAACACTTATCTGAGTAAGTGCATTTATCCATTTTCTTTTATTTCTTAGGTAAATAAGGTAATGATCATTTTAGTCATAAAAATTCATTATTAAAAGGGGTATTTTTGTCCCATTCAAGTGTTGGCAACTTTCCTCCTAGGTGAGAAAGTTATTTACCCACGTAGGAGATGGGTATCACTAACCCGGGTAAATGATACCCAGGAAAATAAACTTTCCCTGGTCCCCACATTAATCTGAAAAATGAACATGGGATTCTTGGTTAATGAGAACTAAAATTTCATTGACCAACTTTCCCCCCTCTCAAAATCCAAAAAAAGAACGCCCCCTAAAGATTTACTGATGAGAGGGTATATGTTATGTACCACTCAAATATCAACTGACGTTAGTCATCCTTTAAGAAATAGGTTCAGTTCGTG